GTAAACCAGACTATGATTAGCTAACTTCTTTTCTGCTTTGTATTTCTGAAGGAAAAATGACAGAAACAGAGAATTGTGATTCATTCCAGTTGAAAATTTATTGTTATAGGTGGACTAAGCTTTGGAGAAGGGGCTCAAAGAAAAAAATGTTCAACAGACACAGAATGTAAGATTCTTTGTTGAAAGTGATATATATATGATAGTATCTTTGATCTGATTATCACACACTGCATACATTCTTTGAAAGACCATATTGTGAAGCCAGCAGGTGGCGTGGTGGTTAAGGCACTGAGCTCCCACATGGTCAACCATATTTTGAGTCTCAGACCTGAAACTCACACCCGGTGTGTGTGACAGCATGCCCAAAAATCCCAGGAGGAAAGTGGAGGAGAAGGGATTGCAGCATGGCCATCGCCCCCTGAGAGGGCGTGTGACAATTCACTTTTTTTCTCACTGTCTCTATCTCTGTCTCTCAAGCAAGTACACATGCCCTATGGCAAAAACCTAAAAACAAAACAAAACAAAAAATAAAAAAGAAAAGGAAAACCACATAGTACACTACAAAGATGTTTCACAATTAAATGTAGATAAGAAATTATAAAATAAAATTTTAAAAAGTGGGAGGTCGGCAGGTGGCATGGTGGTTAAGGTGTTGGACCCCCATATAGACCCAGTGGCTTGCTTTTTCACTTTCCCTCTCTTTCTCTCTAGTCTACTATCTCAAAAGAGGGAGCGTATTAGTCGACTTCTTTTGGAAACTTCTCAGAAGTTTCTGTCGATGTTCATGCAAATCAATAGAAATGATGTCATTTTGTTATGATGACATTCTGTAAGACCTTTCTTAGGAGCCATTGTAACCATACCATGGTTTTGTGCCTTTGCAGGGTCACCTGAGGCCAAGCATTTCTCTCTGGGTAAGTGGTACTGGAGCTCCCTATTCCTTCATACCATGGTCTGCTTCAAGTCATTGACTTCACTGTATTTCACTGATGGTTTCATTACGGGCCCAGTAATGTGAAACTTACCATTGTCTTTTATTCTTTCACTTTTTTTTTTTTTTTTGGTCTCACAAAACCTTTCCTATTCTGATGTCATAATGACATTTTCCTAAGTTTTCTTCTCAACGTCTTAAATATATAGTTTCTTTCTTTCTTTTTAAAAAAAAAAAAAAAAAATGCTATAAGGCTTGTGTGCTCACCGGAGAGACAGGGACAGAGAAACAGAAAGCAAGAAATCACCCCAGGGGGAATGGCCACACTGCAATCCCTTTTCCTCCTTTGTCTTCTTGGGATTTTGGGCACACACGTGTGCATGCGCCTGGCTTGTTGCTAGCTGCTGCTGCATCTGGGACTTGAACTGTGGCTAGTCATGTGGGATACCAGCACCTTCACCATCATACCACTGGCTGACCCCTAGGTTTATCTTTAGATCTGTAGTCTAAATATGTCTTATATATGGTATGAGGAAGTACATAACTTCATTTTCTCCTATAAACTACCATCTTTATCCATTACCATTTGTTGACAGATCCAACCATTCCTACCATTCATAATGCTACTTCTTTTATTATATCAAATTCCTACATAAGGTTATTCATGCTTCCCTATTTTTGGTTCTATTTTATTAGTCTATGAGGCCATTCTGCACCAACGTTATGCTGTTTTTAATATGTAGCTATATAATATCTTGATATCTGGTAAAGAACATCTGGAGGCCATAAAAGATTCCCTATAGATTTTGCATGTAGGCTCATATAATTTTCAAATAATGTCAATTTTTAAAATCTCTTTACAATGCCATTTCTTTTCCTTGTCTTCTTTCATAAAAAGTATATTCAATGCAGTGCTCATTACAGAATACCAATTATCTTTATTCTGATTTTAAAGGCAATATTTTTGACATTTTGACATTTAGGCTTACCGTATTTTATTATTTACATTTATTATGGTAAAGAAGTTTCTTCTCTAGTTCTAGTGCTCTAGCGGCTTTAGTAATGAATGATAATTACCTTTAACCTATGAGATAAATATACCTTTTATCCTTAAATAGTTTAATTTTGTAAATTGTCAAAATAAGTCCTAAATGTTAAGCTATTCTGGCCATCCTGGAATAAGTCCTATTCTATACTACATATTTTCTAAAAACAGATGACATTTTTAATTTGTCAGGATTTTATTTGGGATTATTAGATATATGTTTGCAAATGCTCAAAATCTACCTTATTAGAAGGCTTGTGGTGACCATCCTTATAAAAGAACAGCCTTTTCTCACCCATTACTCTATTATCTTATTCTCCTTTATTTTCTCCATAGCACTTACCATCCGAAATAATATATATGTATTTACCTGCTATTGCCCTAGACAATATAAATCTAGTGGACCAAAACTTTATTTGCTGTCCTGCCCTAAGTAACTTGAACAGGATATTTTTTTAGTGAGTTAATAAATTTGAATTAATGTATATAAGTGCACAAATTAATGTGTAAACAAATATGAACTATTAACTAATTTTTTTCCTCTATATGTCTTTGATTTTGATGTTAAGATTATTCTCGCTTTGTAAAATGAATTGATAGATTTCAAACATTTGTACAAATGGATATTTATCCTTTTTTTAAAGAATTATTTAGTTTTATTATTATGAATATTATTTTTAAATTTGCTATAGGGCACATGTGCTTACAGAAGAGACGAAAAGTGAGAAGGCAAGCCACCAGGTCCGAGAGACTCCAACCACTGTCAGCCATGGGGGAATCCAACACCTTAACTACCACATCACCTGCTGGGCCCTGCATATTTATTCTTTAGGCCATGTTAAGATCCAGTGCTTTCTTGGGGATAGATGTTGATGAAGGATTGATTTTATTAATGTTATAGTTCTACTTATACTGAGACTTTACTGTCCCACTTAAAAAATTTGAGCTATTTGTGGAGTTTTTGTTTTTCTATAAAATGGTTCCTGTTGTCTACATTTTGAGGTTAAATTTACTAATGCTGCTGCAACAAATGACCACAAACTTAGCAGCTTCAAACACCACACATTTATTATCAGATAGTCCTGGAGGTCAGAAGTCTTCAGTGGGCTGGCAGAACCTTTCCCTGCCTGTTCCAGCTTCTAGAGTTGGTCCATTACCCCCTCATGGTTTGGCTTCATTCTGCACCTCTTGCCTCTCCCATGTAAGGACCCTGGTGATGAAAATGTACCCACTTGAATAATCCATGCTACTCTCCCCATAGCAAGAACCTTAACAAAATCACATCTACCAAGTTCCCCCCCCCATTTTAAATTGCCCTGTAAATTAGCATATCCACAGGTATGGAAATGAGGGTATCTTTGGGGAAGCCATTCTTCTGCCACAATGGGCACCATATTTCCATTGTAGTTGCTCCTGTCTCTGCAGATAGGTTGCCTTTTTGTCCCTTTCAAAATGTACTTATCTAGGGAACCAGCAGTTAGCGTAATGGCTATGTCGCTGGACTCCCACGTAGTCGACTGCGGTTCGCGTCACGGACCCGGTGGCTTAAAACTCACGCCGGGTGCGTGTGCGTGCGTGCCCAAGGTCCCTGGAGGAGAAGGGATTACAGCGTGACCATCCCCCGTGGGGGGTGATTTCTCGCTTTCTGTCTCTATGTCTCTCTCTGTCTGTCTGGCGAGCCCACGCGCCCTACAGTGAAAATCTCTCTCCAAAAAAAAAACGTACTTATCTGTTCCTCTATCACTTTCTCTGATCAATTTGTCGATTTTATTAGCGATACCCCTACAGCTGTGACAGGAATGTGGGGTTATTGTATAAAGGTGGGAAAGGCATGGTCATTGTGCTGAGGGTACTACTAGGTCACTTCCCGCCTGCTGTCATTTCCCAGGATTTCATCAAACATAATTCCTTTCATTGTGGTCTGGGTGGTCCAAGTAACCCCTGGTAGGATGCTTCCTAACAGCACAGGTTATGGTGCATCTGAGCGTTCTCACTCTGCGTCCTGCTCCCGGAGCTGGTGATCCTCTGATTGAAGCCTCCCAGCTCCCTTTCTCTCCTGTCTGGGCTCCTGGGAATACCTAGGGAGGAGAGCGCCTCACCTTACCATTCCCTGGGATTTGAGGCCTGGGCATGCGCACCCTCCGCGGCTGATGGGAGGTGATCGCTCGGGTCTCCTCCTTTCACCCTCCTCAGCCTTCCTCCACCACTCTTACTCATCTTTCCACCTACAACCCCCTTCGCAGGTCCCAGACCGGTCAGGCTGGTTCCGACTTCTAGGCTGTTAACCTGTCCGGTCCCGCCCATCCCTAGCTTGGAGCCGCGCAGGCTCGGCGCCGCCGCCCTTGTTCCCTCTGCGCTCCCGGCTCGAATGGAGTGAAAGCCGCTACAAAAGGCTTGAATGAAGCGTGTGTGGGTTTAGTGAGTGGTAAACCACCAGGGGATCCCGTCTCCCCACAAACCAGCATCCCTCCGAGGAGGAGGTGGAGGAACTAGAGGAGGAGGGCGAGAGGAAGGAGGCAAGGAGCCGGGCGCTGGGTTTCGCTGGCGCGCGCAGCGGCTGGAGCGGCGGGGAGGGGCCGTGCCACCTCCCCCTTCCCGGGGCGCGCACCGCCTCGCCCGCGGCGGTTCC